GCTAGACTCAGACTGCTGCGAGGGGGGGGCCTGCGCTAGACTCAGGCGGCTGGGGGGGGCTCGCGCTAGGCTGCAGTGGGGGTCGGGCCAGACACTGGGGGGGTCGCGCTAGACGGCGGGGGCTCTCAGAATCTGAGACGGTCAGCATCTGCTCCGCTGCGCTGAAGTCTCGGCCACAGGCCTGGGAAGCTCGGGCGGCGCCTGCAGGGGCAGGGACGGAGCGGGAGACGCTGAGTCTCTTTCCCTCCCTGGGTGTTTACGGAGGGCGACTCTGCGCAGGGCTGTTCTGGGTGACACGACAGCGCTGAAAACACAGCAGAGGCCGCAGCCGGCCCCGGAGCTGACCCTGCGGGGGTGTTTCTTCTACAGCGCTGGACCGACGCCCAGGAGGGCGATGGGCAGGGCCGGAGCCGGCAAGGGACGGGCCGCGTGGGCATCCCGGGGGAGTGTGCCGAGGAGGACGTGGCGAGCGCCAAGGCCCGGGGGCAGGAGCGAGGCCGGGGAGCGGCAGGGGCGAGAGCGAGGAGCCAGCGCCCGGCCAGCCTTCGGGGAGTGACTCGGGGACCCCTGCAAGGTCTGCAGCTCAGGCGAGGGCTGGGCCGTCCCCCTGGCAGGAGCCCTCCGGCGGCCCTGTCCTGTTCCCCGGTGGGAAGCAGTCCGCAGGCGCCGCCCGCCCGTGCTCACCGTCAGACCAGCGCATGGCGTCGTCCAGGGTGCTGGGGACGCCCCTCCACAGGGGGCTCTGGGCGGGGTAGCCGGGGTCCATGCGCCTCGTGTGGTCATCGTAGCGCCAATACAGCTGGTCCTTAAAGAAATAAGTCCTGTCATTGTAGGCCCAGGAGAAGGCGGCGTCGATGCCGCCAGGCGGGAGGCTGAAGTCGGAGACGGGCCGCGGGTATCCTTCCTCTACGTTATTGTCCTTGAACACCCAGTACCTGTCTCCTGGGGGCGAGAGAAACAGCTGTGGGCCGGGGCTCAGCCCCACCCCGAAGGGCGGGGGGCTCCAGCCTTTCCTTCTCCCCTGCATTGGCCGCCCTTGCCCGGGTCCCTCTCTGGGGCCTGAAGGGACGGTGGCCACAATGCAGTCACCTTGCATCACAGTGGCCACACGGATACTTAGTGAGCACCTACCAGGCCTGGACCGGGCTGTCCCATCCAGCCGGCAGCCTAGTCTCAGGCTAAACTGCAGCCCCCCAACACGCCATTCTACTTTTTTTTTTTTTGAGAAGGGTCTCGCTCTGTCACCCAGGCTGGAGTGCAGTGGTGCGATCTCGGCTCACTGCAACCTCCACCTTTGGGTTCAAGTGATTCTCATGCCTCAGCCTCCCGAGTAGCTGGGGTTACCAGCGTGTGCCACCATGCCTGGCTAATTTTTGTATTTTTAGTAGAGATGGGGTTTCTTCATGTTGGCCAGGCTGGCGTAGAACTCCTGACCTCAGGTGATCATCCTGCCTCGGCCTCCCAAGTGCTGCGATTACAGGCGTGAGCCACCATGCCCTTTGCCCAGGCTGGGCTCAAACAATCCTCTTGTCTCAGCCTCCCAAGTGCTGGGATCACAGGGGTGAACCACCGCACCTGGCCGACCACTCTCTGTACAAAGGACTAGAACATCTTCCTGGCAAAGACAAGAAAAGTCCTTCCTCAAGGCCTAACTGTGTGACTCTTTCTCTTGAGACTGTCGAATTCTGTAGCCCAGGCTGGAGTGCAACAGTGTGATCTTGGCTCACTGCAACCTCTGCCTCCTGGGTTCACGTGATTCTCCTGCCTCTGCCTCCTAAGCGGCTGGGACTACAGGCGCCCGCCACCACAACCAGCTAATTTTTGTATTTTCAGTAGAGACGGGGTTTAACCATATTGGCCAGGATGGTCTTGAACTCCTGACCTCAGGTGATCTGCCCACCTCGGCCTCCCAAAGGGCTGCAATTACAGGCGTGAGCCACCATGCCTGGCAACAGTGAGACTCTTACACCTTTGAAAGAGTTCGCACAGCAGCAAAACATTTAAAGCTCCTTTGCTAGATACGTGGTTTGAATACACATTTCTCCTGAGAAATACAGATGGCAATAAGCACCTGAAGATGCCCAACATCACCAGAGAAATGACGAGAGGCCACCTCGCCCCCACCATCAAGAACACAGAGAGTCACAAGTGTTGGGGATGTGGGGGCCGTGTGGTCCGGGCCTTGCTGGGGGGTGTGAGACTGTGCAGCCAGTGCGGGAAACAGAACGTAGGCTCCCCAAACATCAAAAATAGAATGACCACATGGTCCCGCATTTCCACTTCTGGGGATAAATCCAAAGGAAGGGAAAGGAGGGTCTCAGAGAGACCTTTACACACTCACACGTGCAGCAGTGTCCTTCCCAGGAGCCCAGAGGAGAAGAAACCCAAGTGGACGGGGAACGAAATGAGTCCATCCATGTCAGGGAATGTCGCTCGGACTTGGCCAGGAAGGATACCTGCCACCTGCCACGGCACGCATAAGCCCTGAGGCCCTTCCGCTGAGCAACACGAGCCAGGCACAGAGGGCAGGGCCCGTCTGTCCCAGTGACATGGGATCCCTAGAGCACTCCGAGCCATGGGGACAGCAAGTAGAGTGGGTGCCTGGAGCTGCGGGGGCGGGGGCATCCGTGTTTCAGTGGGGGCAGCATCTCCTTTGGGAAGACAGAAATCTCCTGGAGGTGGATGCCAGTGACGGCCGCGCAGCTACGTGAACGTGCTTCATACCACGGAGCCGTGCGCTTAGAATGGTGAAAATGTGTTTACCAAATCCACAATTTAAAATTATCAAAAAAACCAGGGCTGGGAATGTTGGCTCACGCCTGTAATCCCAGCACTTTGGGAGGTCAAGATGGGTGGATCACCTGAGGTCGGGGGTTTGAGACCAGCCTGAATAACATGGTGAAACTCTGTCTCTACCAAAAATACAAAGAAATTAGCCAGGCATGGCGGTGAGTGCCTGTAGTCTCAGCTACTCAGGAGCTTAAGGCAGGAGGACCTGGGCTTGAACCCGGGAGATCAAGGCTGCATTGAGCCAAGATCAGGGCACTGCACTCACACCTGGGTGACAGAGTGAGACTCTGTCTCAAAAAAGTAAAGTAAAATAAAATTTAAAAACAAAAAAAATACAAAATGAGCAAAAAACGTCCTTTGCTGGAGACTGGAAAGGGCTGTGGTCTGTAAGGACGAGAGGGTTAGGGAGATGCCTCGATGAGTGACCAATGGGCCCGCCCTGCTGCGTGCGGCCGCGTGGGAACCAGGACAGGTGCACCTGTAGGGAAACCGGGCAGGGGCAGGGCACCCAGGGGTCGGACGGGCTATGATAAGAGACCCACATGTTCTCAAGTCTCTCCTGGCAAGTGACCGACCCCTCACATCCAGAAATGGGGCTTTATGGTAGAGAAACCTGCAGACACACCTCATGCAGGTGATCCCAGCAAACATCACCAGATGGGGGGGCTTGGGGCTCAGAACACGACCCCTCGGTGACATTCCTGCTGGATATGCAGAACCAGAACCTGATCCGGAGGACATGCCAGGCAGACCCACCCGGGGAAGCGGCCGGAACATGCCGGGCAGACCCACCGGGGGAAGCTGCCCGAACACAACAGGCAGACCCACTCGGGGGAAGCAGCCTGAACACACCCAGTGTGTGCAAGGCAGGGAGGCCGCTGAAGGGGCGACTCTCTGTGCTGGGTCCCTGCTCCGGGAGGCGCTGTGGGTCACCCTGGGGCCTTTGGCGAGGTCGCACGGGGGAGGCTAAGAGCAATGGAGCATGAGGTTTAGGTCATTCCCTTTTTTTCTTTTCTAGTGCAAGTACTGTCTTTGGGGATTCTTTTTTTTTTTTTTTTTTGAGACAAGGTTTTGCTCTGTCGCCCAGGCTGGAGTGCAGTGCATGGCTCAGTGCAGCCTCCACCTCCTGGCTTGGGTGGTCCTCCTGCCTCAGCCTCCCAGGTAGCTGCAGCCTCTGTCCCTTCGGGAGGGATCAGACCTTTGGGAACAGTCACAGGAGGGCTCCCAAGTGACAGTGGTGACTGAGTCAAATGTCAAGGGCTGGGGGGGCGATGGAGCGACAGGAAGCGGTTCCCTGGCAGACACGAACACCCTTTACCTCCGCGAGGAAACAGGGTCCCGCCCGTGCTTGTGGGACTGGCTGCCACACTGGACTGAATGATGCACCCAACTCATATCCACCCAGAATCTCAGGATGTAACCTTACTCAGAAAGGGTCTTTGCAGATGTGTTAGTTAAGATGAGTTAAGATGAGATGAGGCAGGCCGGGCATGGTGGCTCTCGCCTGTAATCCCAGCACTTTGGGAGGCCAGGGTGGGTGGGTTACCTGAGGTCAGGAGTTCGAGACCAGCCTGGCCAACATGGCAAAACCCTGTCTCCACTAAAAATACAAAAATTAGCCAGGAGTGGTGACAGGTGCCTATAATCCCAGCTGCTCGGGAGGCTGAGGCAGGAGCATCGCGATCCAGGAGGTGGAGGCTCCAGTGAGCCGAGATCATACCACTGCAATCCAGCCTGGGTGACAGAGTGAGACTGTCTCAAAAATAAAAGGGGGGAATAGGGGACCTGAATCAAGGCCCGGCTTCCTTATAAGAGACATCAGGCTGCAGGAGGTGACGGCTCGGTGAAGACAGAGGCGGTGGCAGCAGGGACGTGGCCGAGGGCGACACCAAACGTGGGCGAGGCCTAGGAGGGCCTCCAGAGGGGACCCACCCTGCCCACACTGCGAAGGAAACGGTGGGTTTCAGCCAGCATGGGGGCCTCTGTCCTGCCGTCCCGCCCGCCCCTGCAGCCCTGCGCCCCCACTCCCGTCTCCTTTTCCTGCCCTTCATGGAGCCTTGGAGGCATGAGGAAAGCTTCCCACAGCACCGCCACGGGGTCGTTCCTGGAAAGGTGGGTGCAGGGGCGCCCTGGAGAGAGGAGCCCAGCTGCAGCAGCCACGGCCCCTGACGATTCTGCCCCAGCCTCCTCCAGGCCCGGGCGCTCCGGCCACAGGCCCATCTGTGACGCGCTCAGCAGGACCGCTCCTGCCTCGGGCGGCAGCTCCCCGGGCCTGAGCACCGTTCCTAGTTTCTGCTTGCTCGGCATCCCCCTAAAGAGTCCGCTCCCATTGCCCTTCCTTTCTGACCACCCTGAACGGCACTGGAAATCAAGCCCTCCGGACTTGGGGGAGGACTGTGTGCCCGACGAGGGCGGGGGCAGGCTTCCCACCTGTTTGCCCTCCATGTGCCTGCAGCGGCTGCCGCGGGACGGGGCACACAGGAGGTGCTCAGAATGCATCTGCTGAGCGCACAAGCCAACAAGCGCTCGGTGCTGGCCCAGCCTCTGGGCGGACGCGGGGCTTTCACACAGCGGGATGCAGGCTGGACCCCCTCAGTGAGGCCCGAGTGCTAGGGGGAGGCCCGCCCACCTTTGAAGAAGACGATCTTGTGGTCGCTGGTGCGCTCATACACGGCGTCCACGCTGTCCAGCTGCAGCGGCAGGCCCCGCCAGAAGCGGTGCATCTGTGCCGGCTGCAGGGACACCAGATGCCGGTCCCGCGTCAGCCGCCAGAAATACTTGCCTGGGGACAGAGAAGACAGGGGAGGGCTGAGCTGCGGAGGGGGTCTGCGCCGGAGTGGGCTGCATCTTCTGCCCGCCACCACAGGGCATCCCGGGGTACCTTTGAAGAAGAATGCTTCACCCCGGATCTGGGCCACCGCATCAAAGTGCGTGCTGCACCTGTGGGGCACGTCCTTCCTGGGCCTGCAGAGTGGTGGAGGAGGGGGAGAGAACCTGGTGGGCTCAGAGGCAGGGCATCCTTCAGGGGAGCCCCTAACCTGAGCAGCACGGGACAGGCATGCTTGGGGGGAGCCCCTAACCCTGCCTCGGGGTCTCCTCCTGAAGAGACAGGCAAATTAAAACAGGGGTGCCTGTCTACTGTTTCACAGAGGGGCAGGGAGCATGATCTACGCTCTGAGTACACAGTGCCAGGGGGCTGCAGGGAAGGCAGGGCTCGGGGTGGGCACTGGTGTAGTATCCAGGGGCCAGCTGGTGCCAAACACCCCCACCACGGGACCCCGAGCCCATCCCCAGAACTCTGTCCTACGGGAAGCGTGTTCACAGTGACAAGGCGCATGTCTGCCGAGAGATGACATCAAAGAGAGCGGCTCCCTCACAGCTTTAGCCAATACAGTTACACGTACAGTCCCGTGACATCTGAGGCTGGTGACGAGGTCACAGCTTCCACTGGCCTCTGGCAGCACCAGCTCTCAGGACAACTTCCGTGAGAATCCAGCCGCCATGGGCAGGTCACGCCTTGTGGAGTGGCCCCGATGGCCATCCGGTTAGGCCAGCCCTGGCACCAGACACGAGCCCAGACAGTGAACGTTCTGGCCACAGGGCACAGCCAGACACTCGCAGGCCTGGCCTGACTTCCTGACACTGGGAATCACGGGCCTGATGAAGCGCTCATCAGGCTGGGCTGCCTGTCACGTGGCAGCAGCTGACAGGGACGAGGAGAGAGGACCCCGAGTTTGATGTCATCCCTGTGCGGGGACCCTGGCAGGGGAGGCCAGTGTTAGAAGGGGTTTAAGAAATGACAAAATGTCACTGAGCTCAACCGGCCACAGCTGCGGGCTTCCCAGGGGTCTGAGCCACAGTTTGGGGCTGACGTTGCCTGGGACAGGGAGTGGACAGGCCGACCACCGCAGGTGGGGACTGTGGGCCCAGGGCTTACGGGGTGCTGGGCCGGTTGTCTGGGGGCTCCGGCAGCAGGGGCGGCTCCTCGGTCTGCGCCGTGGGAGACACAGACTCCCTCACACCTGTGGTAGACAAGGAGGGGGACGGCCTCAAACCCCAGGTGCCTGCCTCCCCCCACATCCCAGCGGCACCTCTGAAAACCAGGCACGAAACCGAGGCCACTCAGAAGACAGGCTCTCAACTTGCACTGCGGGGACACAGCTGAAACCAGCGAGGCTGCCGCCCCCAGAGCTGACGGCGAGGCAGGAGCCAGGTCCCTCACAGAGTTAAGTACTAAGTGTGTGAGCACTGGCCCCCAATTCCACCCCAGGTACACCCTAGAGAGCTGGGGACAGGTTGCAATTCCACCCATCTACACCCTAGAGAGCCGGGGACAGGCTGCAATTCCACCCGTCTACACCCTAGAGAGCCGGGGACAGGCTGCAATTCCACTCGTCTACACCCTAGAGAGCCGGAGACAGGCTGCAATTCCACCCGTCTACACCCTAGAGAGCTGGAGACAGGCTGCAATTCCACCCGTCTACACCCTAGAGAGCCGGAGACAGGCTGAAATTCCACCCGTCTACACCCTAGAGAGCCGGAGACAGGCTGCAATTCCACCCTAGAGAGCCGGAGACAAGCATTCCCACAGGAGGTGGTACCCCAGCCTTCACGGCACCGTTCACCACAAGTAACGTGGCGGTAACCCAGTTGTCGCCATGCTCAGAGGAAGGCGGGCCGGGCATGGGGCTCACGCCTGTAATCCCAGCACCTTCCGAGGCCAGGGCAGGAGGACTGCTTGAGCCTAGGAGTTTGAGACCACACTGGGCGGCATGGTGAAACCCCATTTCTACAAAAACTTGAAAAATTAGCAAGGTGTGCAGGTGTGGTAGTGCACATCTGTAGCCACAGCTGCTCAGGAGCCTGAGTCAGGAGAGTCACTTGAGCCCAGCAATTTGAGACAAGCGCCACATAGTGAGACCCCATATCTAAAAAAAAAAAAGGGCTGGGCATGGTGGCTTGCGCCTGTAATCCCAGCACTTTGGGAGGCCAAGGCAGGCAGATCACAGGGTCAGGAGTTTGAGACCAGTCTGGCCAATGCAGTGAAACCCTGTCTTTATTAAAAATACAAAAAAATTAGTGGGTGTAGTGGTGTGTGCCTGTAATCCCAGCAACTCGGGAGGCTGAGGCAGGAGAATCCCGTGAACCTGGGAGGCGGAGGCTGCAGTGAGCCGAGACGCACTCAAGCCTGGGCAACAGCGCGAGACTCCGTCTCAGAAAAATAAAAAGAATCCAGACACAAAAGGCTGCATCAGAGGCTGATCTATGGAGAAGAGTCGGTCAGTAGTGGGGTTGCCAGGGGCCAAGGCGGGGCCTGGGATGGGTGTCGGGTCCCCTTTGGTAGCAGTGGTTGATTAGAAAGTTCTAGAACCGGGCGCGGTGGCTCACGCCTATAATCCCAGCACTTTGGGAGGCCGAGGCGGATGGATCACGAGGTCAAGAGATCGAGACCATCCTGGTCAATATGGTGAAACCCCGTCTCTACTAAAACTACAAAAAATTAGCTGGGCATGGTGGCGCGTGCCTGTAATCCCAGCTACTCAGGAGGCTGAGGCAGGAGAAT